CGCGAAGCCGTGTGGGAATACGTCTTCCCTATCGTTCGTGGCATCTTCCAAGACGGACTGACACCAGAGAACTCCGGTTACTGGACTACTTTCCTACATGTTGTGTTGCAGTCGAAGGATCCACGCCGAGGATGGCCGCTGGTCGACTGGCTAGCTAGCTTCCGCCTTGACATGGAGTCCAACGCCGCCTTCAAAGAGAGCTCCAAAGTACACTTGCTGACGCAATGTATCTGCGATGCGGGGTGGCACTTCCGTCTAGAGAAGCCGATCTTGGAAGACTTTATGAAGCATCTCGACCATCCGTACAAGGGCGTGCGAGAAGCCATGGGCCAGACCATCGCGAGTATCTTTAGGACACGTTACCACGAATCGTACAAGGATGTCGACACGCTGATGAAGGCGCAAAAGGACGCTTCTTCGATCGGCGAACGCCCTTACCAGCCTACGGAAGAGTTCACTAAAACCATCACCGAGGTCTTTGATCGCCTTGAGGTCTGGCGTGGGGAGCGTCCGGCAGGTCAACAGACACCTTCGTCGTACACGTCAGGTGGTAAGACTGTTCTTCTCTGGCTCGACTCTACGCTCTCCTCGTACGAGTGTACCTCGCTCGTTAGGTTCTTCCCCGATATGTTCATGGAGCAGCTGCTACACATGATGGACATCAAGGAGGACCCTGAATTGCAGTCGCTCGCTTACCACGTCTTCCGCCACCTGCCCAACATCCCGCATCGCCAAGGTGAGGACTCAGACTTCATCTCTGCTCTCATACGCATCGGACGCAACGCGACAAGCTGGCATCAGCGTCTCAGAATCCTCATCAACATCCAAGTGATCTACTTCCGCCGACTCTTCCTCATGAGCGAGGAGCAGCAACAGAGCATGTTTGACTGCGTCTCCGCCATGCTGTCAGACACACAACTCGAAGTACGAATGGGTGCTGCCACCACGCTATCAGGCATGATTCGTTGCTCGCCAATTGCATTCCGCGACCGCCAAGTCTCTACACTCAAGGAACGATTTACCAAGCAGCTCAACAAGAACCCATTGCCAAAGAAGCGCAACCCAGGAACGCCGACAACAGAACAAGGCAAGCTCGTCTTGACACGCCACGCAGCTGTGCTGGGTCTTGGTGCGCTTATCCAAGCTTTCCCGTACCAGAGCCCTCCGCCAGCCTGGTTGCCCGACGTACTTGCGACGCTGGCTAGGAAGGCTGCGGCTGATCCTGGCATGGTTGGCAAGAGTGTCAAGACTGTTCTGGCAGACTTCAAAAAGACTAGGCAGGATACTTGGCATGTTGATGTCAAGGTAAGTTTTCTACTCTGATATGATTATGAACTGTGCTAACCTCTACTCAGGCGTTCGAACAAGAGCAACTGGAGGACTTGGAGGGTGTGCTGTGGAAGAGCTACTTTGCTTAAACGACAGCTATGCGGCGAATGGGATATTACGAACGACGCTCGATGATACCATAAGCGACGGACATGTACAATAAGTTAGATCGGACGGGTCATGACTACGAGCGATATGAACAGGCTCTGCATCAGTGGCGCCTAGTGGAAATAGCATTTTCTAGATAGTCTCTTGCTTACACAATGAACCTTTTTGCTCAGCATGCTTACTCAGTTGCGACCGGACGCGCGCTCCTTCCTGCTTAAAGCCGCTTGCCCCTCCCCCGCTCCGCTGTACCTGCGCCTGCACATGTGACATCATACCCTGGACCTTCCGACCATCAACAATAAAATCACCGCTTGCTGCGCGACGCATAAACAGCACTGGTTTTCCGACACTGGCCCATCAGCGAATCTACAATGCCATTGACTGTACTTACTGACGCGGACGTGCGCACTCTCTTGTTGCAATTGACCAAACAAGACATTCTCGACTTGCAGCAGAACCTCGCTGATGCGCTGCACCATTATTCTACCAGCACGGAAGAAGACGACAATAATGGATGTTGTGAGACTTTTCAGTCTGCAGGCACGAGTGTGAAGACTAAAGATGGAGGGATGATGACGGTTGCGCCGGCAAGCAGGTATGTATAGTTCTTGCAAATACACATGCATGACAATCGCATCGACTGACTATTCGCAGCAACGATGGTCTCGGAGTCAAAATAACGACACGTCCAGAGTCCAACTCTTTGGACACAGCCTCTGTTACTTCATCGATGAGCTCACTCGCTCTATCTCAACAGTCGACACCAACGAGTAAAAGCTCAGCAACCACAGCCTCTCTCGCTTCAACCCAAACATCGGCATCAAATACTAGTCTCACTCTCTTCGACCGCTCCGGAAACCCTCGCGCCATGCTAAACTCCTCCGAAATGACAGCCTTCCGCACCGCTCTCGCAAGCACAATGCTCTTTAAGAAACGAGCAAACGTTCACGACGTGACAGTCTTTGGCGCAGGAAAACAAGCGTACTGGCACATTCGTCTTGCCCTCCTGCTACGCGGACCGGATATCCATCATCTCAATATCATAAATCGGGATTTTGAACGCGTACACCAATTATTGGAGAAACTATACGATCCCGACTCCGCTCCTTCAACTTTCAACCCCGATCCAAACCACGTACCCACCTACCGCCGCGCATCAGGCTCAGAGGAAGGCTCAACAGGAAAAGAAACCCAACACCAATACCTCCATCGCCCTAAAATACAAATTCTCACCCCAGGCCACGGCGAATACCCCCGCCTCCTACACGCCACCCTCCGCTCCTCATCCGTCCTATTCCTCTGCACCGCCTCTCCCACGCCCCTCTTCCCCGCGCCCATCCTAACGAACCCCGAAGGACGAAAGAAAGGCCGCTACATAGCTGCCATCGGCTCCCTCTCTCCACTCGCCACAGAACTACACCCAGACATCCTACGACAAAACGTCGCGCCCGAGCACGGGCACCGCCATTTACACAAGCACGCAAAGCAGAGCGGGGCGGTGGTGGTGGATAGTGTTGAGAAGGCGTTGAAAGAGGGTGGGGAGGTGGTGCAGGCGGGGTTAGGTCCGGATCAGGTTGTTGAAATTGGGGAGTTGGTTATGTTGAAGAGGGATGCGGAGAGGAGGAGGCGGGAGTGTTTGGCTGGGAAGGGGTTGATGGAGGCGGAGGGATTAGATACGGGGGGTGTGGAGTTGGGCGAGTGCGAGATGAATCGGAGGGAGAAGACAGAGAAGGCGAGGAGGGGGAGTAATGGGAAGAAGGAGAAACATCATGAAGGTGAGGACAAGGCGCATAAGAGCTTGATTGAGTGGTTGGTCAAGGGGAATGTGATTTATAAGAGTGCGGGACTGGGTCTTACGGACGTCGTAGTGGGCGGTGACCTTGTTCGCATAGCGAATGAGCGCAGTATCGGCACGAGGATCGATAACTTCTAGGGTGGGCTGTCGCATCCATCGTCGGAACTAGAAACAGGCGCACAGCAGTTCGGCTCATGCGAGTGCAGCTGATGCGGTCATCATAGTTCAGCATGTATGATCGAAACATAATCACGAGCAACAAATCATGCGAATGGCGTGCGTTATCGTGATTGATTCCAGTCAACGCGGTCGTTTGCCGACCGCTTTTAACCCTCCTAAACTCCGTTGGTATTGTGAACCGACTATATGCAGAGATAAGAGACACGCCGTAAAGTCATCATGAAATCGAGAAAGCACATCAGGACCCGCTTAGATCTTGATAGCGCTCTCGATGGCCTTCCTCTTCTTCTCCATGCGGGCGTTGGCCTTGGCACCCATGATACCACCTCCCCAGTGACGGGCAGCGTCCTTGTGGTGCGACTCGAGGTAACCGTCGTTGACAGCGGTGATGAGCTTCTGGAGCTCGTTCTTGTCCTCGGAGCGGACCTCGGTAAGAGCGAGGACAGCGGCGGTCTTCTGGTGGACGACCGTTCCGAGACGGGCCTTGCCCTTGACGATAACGTAAGGGACACCTGATTGATATCAGTAAAAGTTCTATATGCATTTGCGTAGTTGGAGTACTCACCCATCTTCCTGCAGAGAGCGGGCAGGTAGACAACGAGCTCGATGGGGTCGACGTCGTTGGCGATCAGGACGAGGGAAGCCTTCTTGTTCTCAATCAGGCCAACAACGTGGTTGAGACCGTATTTGGCAACGTAGGGCTTCTTGCTGACGTCCTCCTTCTTCTTGCCCTCAGCGACGGCGGTGGCCTCCTTGGTGAGGCGCTCCTTCTTCTCGGCCTTGGTCTCGGGACGGTACTTGTTGAGGATCTTGAAAGCCTGGGTGGCAAGGTTACGGTCGGCAACGTGCTGGAACTGGGCAATCGCCGGTGGGACCTTCAAGCGCATGTTGAGGATCTTCTTCTGGCGTTGAAGACGGACATACGCGCTGCACATCGTCAGTATCTGCCATCTGCGGTGGATCGGGGTTTGCTTACGGCCAGCGGACCATGCGGCCGACGTTGCGCTGGGGCTGGATGTCCTGACCGATGCCATAGTTGCGAGGACGCTTCTCGATGAGAGGGTTCTGTTCCATTGTGAGCGGTTGCAGTTGAATGTTTGAGGAATGGGCAGACCTTTTGCTTCTTGGCGGCAGACGACTTAGAAGTGGCCTGGGGGAAAGCCGCAGGCTTCTTTCCGGATCCTTTGGGAGGCATTGTCGAGGCTGTCATAGAGAACAGAAACCATTAGCGAATGTTCATTCACTATAGGTCTGAATCTCGTAAGAGCGAGAGGGCCTTTCAGCCGCTCTCCACTCTAGCCATCATTTGTATGCGACACGCTCATGTAGAGACGTGCGATTTCGATATGCTACCGAGCATTCATGGCGGATATGCGCTTACCTGGTGTGTTGGCGGCGACGAAGTAAAGATTGGCGACGGTGGACTTGACGAACGTTCGAAAGCGGGCGCAAAAGTTGTCGGCACCGAAATCCAGAGAAGCGAGTGCGCGCGGGTGGGGAAGAACGTTTCGCCGGCGCTAGCGTCTGCCCAATGGTAGCGTGGTGCCTCACCATCCATCATCGACCGCGACAACTTCAATGCGAGACCATGAACGCGATTAATCTCGGCGCGAAAGGACGTAACGCGCAGCTCGTCGCCATATTCTGCCTATGGAAAGCGCTGCTCCTCTCGCTCGCTACATTCTGCCCAGGTCCCGGATACGACACCTCTGGTCTCATACTGCTCGACACGAGCGCCCGGCGTCATGTTAAGCTGGATGTCACCTCCCGCTATGAGCGTTTTGTCCTCAATCTGCTCCGCTGGGACGCATTGTACTTTGTGAAAGCAGCTGAGCGGGGTCATGTCCACGAGCAAGCGTGGGCCTTCAGCGGGGCGTACTCGTATCTCCTGCGACTAACCGGTCAATGTGAGCACCAGAGGCCCAGTCATTTGGGTCGGCACTGATATCTCGCAGTGATGGCTGGCGATGCGCAGGCTCCTCTGCACTACTATGCTCTGGCCGGAATCATCATTTCCAACATATGCCACCTCCTCTCTGTGCTAGTGCTGTATCGCCTATTGACCTTGGTCCTGGAACCTCAACGGCGACAGATCATCCCATTCATCGCCGCTGTCTTGCATATCCTGACGCCAGCTTCTCTTTTTATGAGTGCACCGTATGCCGAAGCCATGTTCTCATTGCTCAATTTCACAGGCATGCTCCTCTATGCTCAATCTCAAACTGCGGCTGAGACTGGAATGTCATGGATTCGAGCGGACTCTCAAAAGATCGGCTCTGGCGCTTTTTTCGCAGCAGCTACACTGATGCGAAGCAACGGTCTACTCAGCGGCTTAATCCTCCTATACGATGTCGCTAAGTACATGCCCTCTCTGATGTCTGCGCAGTTGCGTATACCAGATGTAAGAAGGATGTTTGTCACATGCATGGCTGGTAGTCTGATAGCCTTAGCATTCTTCGGGCCGCAGTATCTGGCATACACGGAATTTTGCGACCGAGGCAGCGGCACTGGAACTAGACCGTGGTGTGACAAGACCTTCCCGAGCATTTACTCGTGGGTACAAAGCCATTACTGGTAAGTTACCCCAATACGATGACTTACTAGTCTGACCTCTTCCAGGAACGTTGGACTCTTCCGTTACTGGACCATCTCAAATCTGCCTCTGTTCATACTAGCGGCACCAGTTTCGTGGCTGCTCCTCACATCAAGTGTCACCATTCTCCGCAGCGGTGTCCCACGCCCGTTGCGTGGGCGTCCTGTACCCCAGACTGGTGAAACAGCCAAATCCAGGAACGGAACCTCCGCGATATGCAAGCTACCGGAATTGGCACTTCCCCAATTACTACTGGCTGCAACAGCCGTTACCAGTTTTCACGTCCAGATTGTGAACCGGATTGCTTCCGGCTATCCGATGTGGTATCTAGTCGTCGCTACGTGGTTGGCTGATTCACAAAGTACTCGCCCGACAGCGAACCGTTCACGAACAGCCAAGTGGTGTATCAGAGGTAGCATCATGTATTGCTTGATACAGGGAATGCTTTTTGCTAACTTCCTCCCACCGGCCTGAACCTTAGGCCGCGCAAATACTGTCGCACCCACAAAGTGGTGGCGTAAGCTCTACAACATAGCTCTTCAATTCGGACGCCCAGACAGACTGTACCACGTAGCTTATGACTAGTAAAACGCCATGATCAGACTCCTGAACTCCAATGCGAATGTTTCGCAATTACCATAACACTCGGTACATCTAGACGGTTACTTAATTCTCCGGGCGAACTGGTGCTAAACGTAGGAATAGCTCAGAAAGATACGCATAACCGAGTTAAGACCTATGTCTTACATGCAAATTTTGGCACTGCGGCAGAAGCTGAACGATCAGCTACAAGGCCGTCATGATGCCAAGTACCTCACAGTCTCACTACTAGCGTTGCTGCTCTAATGCCCCAGCCATCGCAAGTGTTAAGACATGCACCCCACAATGGAACTTGGAGATGATAGATGAACATCGCATAGAGCGGCTGACGTGTCTTTCTAGCCTATCATGGAGAGCTGGTCTGACGACTTTGTACCTGCATGCGCTACTGACGCCAACCTACCGATGGAAGCCTAGATCATCGTATGAAAGTTGGCGATGCGACAATATGGCGAGATGCTGTGCCAGCATACTACTACAGTTCCAGTCCAATTGTATACAAAAACGTCATGATATCGAACCCCTCTGCAAGATGCGACACATTGGGCGAGGCAGAACATTGCATTATCCACTGCTTCCCTACCCATGACCGACAGCCTTGCAATGCCACTATTTTCGCGACGGAAAGATGACTTCTTGAACACCAACGCGCCTTTTCAGGGCACTGATCAATGCCCTAGTTTCTGAGTCAGAAGCCTTCTCCTTGTGAATGATGACCACCGTCAAGTCTCACAGCGACGCCACCTACACCAACCAGAATATCGGAGCGAAGATGATGGCCTCTCGGAAAGACAGAAGGAAGGCTTGGTCACGCCAGCTTTGTCACTAGTCTTTGGCATAGTGAGGGCGACTTATAAAGGCTGCTTCAAGCTCCTTTGGTTGGTAGCCGTGCTCATCAGCTTAGTCCGACCTACACTCGTTACTAGAAAACGATGAAGCTTTCCACCTTCGCTACCTTCCTCAGCCTGTCCGTGGCTTTGGCAGCCGTACTCGACACTAGAAAGCAATGCAATGAGGATGACTGCTTCCGCGCAGTTTTCGGCAGCGGCGGATTCGGTCAGATAATCAGGGCCGGAGAAGACTGCGATGACTTCCTTACTACGAGTGTCATCTGGTACCCAATGTTCGTATCCCGCTCAAGATGTCTATCGAACACACTAACAGTCTACTCCAGCACCACTATCACGTCCTTTACTCTTACGACATCTACTCTGACAACACCATGCCCTTCGGAGGTATTGCCCGTTCCGACAGAAGTGCCCATTACTACCGACGAAGAAAAACTGTGGATTCGACAAGCTCTGCCAACTGGAACTAACTGGTCCACGACCACCGTCTTTGGACCAGTGCCTACATACGCCACCCAAGCCTGTGCCTCGCAAGAATACAGTTCTGTATGCGGATGTGCGAGCATCACCAAAGATACTATCACCTATCTTAGCACCGTAAGTTTTATGTCAGTGTGCGATGGGTGATGGCTGATCATGTTCCAGACTGTGACAGATATTGAGACTACAACGTATACCAGCGTTACGATTACCGGAACGTCCTGCCCAACCATTACATCATCGTCTTCGATGACCTCTTCAACTTCGAGCATGGTTACCTCGTCTTCGGTGATCAGTAGTTTTTCTAGCAGCACTAGCTCTACCATCTCGTCATCCTCAAGCACGGATAGTTCTTCGAGCTCGGCTACATCGTCGTCCAGCACGGGAAGCTCTTCAGTATCGTCGACTGAATCCAGTAGCTCGTCTACAACGCCAACTTCATCCAGCTCCTCTAGCTCTTCGGCATCGTCGACTGAGCCTAGCAGCTCATCAAGCACAACGACTGTATCAAGTTCCTCCAGCTCTTCATCTACAACACCTAGTAGTTCGTCTACTAGCTCAAGCAGCTCATCTAGCAGCTTGTCCAGTAGTGCGAGCACATCATCATCTACCACAAGCGATGTATCCAGCACGAGCTCGAGTAGCTCATCTAGTACTTCGACTGAGCCCTCCGCCACTTCAAGCACCTCGTCCACGGCATCAAGCAGCTCCTCGACTTCCTCGGGAGAAGTCCCTGCCACAAGCAGCATGTCAATTTCTTCCATGCCTTCATCATCCACCATGACACCAAGCTCCTCGCCAGGTACTACGTCATCCGAAAGCTCTTCCAGCAGCTCTTCATCAAGCACATCGGACATATCGAGCTCCTCCAGCAGCGTCTCGACGAGCTCAACTAGTAGTACTGAATCCTCATCTTCAAGCAGTGCAACACCTTCCTCCAGCGACTCAAGTTCGTCTGCAAGTAGTAGTTTGTCATCTTCAACGAGTAGCACAGACTCGTCGTCGTCATTGTCATCAACCATTACTCTGACTCCGACCTCCAGTGCTTCGAGCACATCGGCTAGCAGCTCATCGCCTTCGTCTTCAGCGAGCAGCACCGACTCGTCGTCTTCGCTGTCATCGTCCACTATCATAGACCCGACGACTTCTAGTGCTTCAAGCACGTCTGTCAGCAGTTCATCGTCATTCTCATTGAGCACCACAGACTCGTCCTCCTCGCTGTCAACAATTACAATCATAACTTCAACCTCCAGTGATTCGAGCACGTCTACTAGCAGTCTGTCGTCCTCGTCATCATCTTCTTCGTTATCTATTAGCACTACACCGATTTCCTCAACCACCGATACATCGTCGACTACATCCACAGCGAGCGCAACGCCCAGCCCACCCGTGTGTGGAGGCTTTGGCGTTGGTCTTTGTGACGGCGCCTGCCGCGACCTTGCGACTGACGTTCTCCACTGTGGCCGCTGCAACAACGCTTGCGTCGCGGGCAACCTCTGCAACAACGGAGTGTGCGCATCTCGTGCATGCGACTCCAACTGCGAATTTGACCGCCTGTGCAACAGAAACGGAACTTCGTCATGCCGGTGCGCAAGGACCATGGATGGCGCTGGTGTCTGTTACGATAAGGATGCGACAAACTGTTCTGACCCAGGTATCCTTCAATGCAGGACCTCAGCCAGCTGTCCGATCGGCACAGTTTGCATGCCTAACGTCTGTGACTGTGCGGATACTACCAAGGGCATCTGCGTTGGCACCACTGGGTGTGGGGACGAAGGATTGTCTGTCATGGGCGGGCTGATCCGAATCGGAGAGATGGAGAAGCGCAGAAGGACCGTCAGAGGGTTGGCGAACCAACTCTAAGGATGGGACGAAAGCATGGTGGTAGCATACGCAGGGAAAAGGGCGGCATCGTGGTTTGTTGTGATTTGGGAATAGTTGGGTGCCTGCCAATGTGCTAGTGGGCGTTGTACAATGGTCTTCACAACACAATATACATCCTTCGCTTCTATACCTACACCGGCAACGGCATCCCGTGTTGTGAATAGCGGTTGGCGTCAGTGCGACATTAAGCTCGCGGTGCATAAAGGCAATTTTTTGTTGTCAAGTGACGCTGCCGTGAGCGGTCAGTGCCTCGGAAGTTAGGTGCTAGCTTCTTTCGCGATGTCAACACACGATAGCGGGTGGTGCCAGTGTAGAGGGTCGCGTGTTTGGAGGCAACAATACGCGACGCGACTGGGGAAACGCAGGTGGTTTGGAGGTGTCCAGATGCAGGCCATCGTAGAACGGCCTTGTAAACCACGGCGAGATATGACGGGTGCAATGTTTAATGTCTAACGCATGAATGTGGCGTCTAGCGGGTCCTAGCGTGCTCCCCACGCGCTGGTGTCGTTGCCGTGGGGATCGCCCGCCATGTCCGCGACGTAAACACAAAGTATGCCGGCCATGTGCCTCATCGCCTCCCCAAATATGCCCGCCATCCTTCTGCTATAGACAACCCACGTTTCAAGCCTTCTCTTCCCGGCTCCGACCTCAGTCGACGCTTCCCCAATTCCCACCTTTGTTGGAGCATCATCATGTCGACGCCGGACATGGCCACCGCCGCACCTTCGCATAGACGGAACAGGAGCGCTGCAGCTGGGGTGCTCAAGTCTATCATCGCGAACAAAGGCCACAAGCGTTCGCCGACCGAGGGCGCTGGGCTGCACCACAACACCCAATTAGCCAGCCCGCCGTACATGCCTGTCTCCAACTTCCAGGCGCCGCTCCTGCCGCCAGACCACCCCCATAGCCAATTGCGCGCGGCAACCCAGACGGAGAACGTCCCCAACAATCCGCCGTCACCGCGCAAGTCGCGAGACGTCAATTCGAGCCCCAAAAAGAGCCTGCACAAGAAGACGCTCAGTTCCGTCTCGCTGCGGTCACTGGCCAAGAAGGAGAACAAGGAGGAGAAGGAGAAGCCCGCCTACAAGAAGTCATTCGACTCGCGGCGATCTCAGGAAGAGGCCGAGATGGGCGAGAAGCCGAAGAAGACAAAGTCGTCGACCAATCTGGCTGCCATGTTCGGCGGGCGCCGGAGAGACAAGTCACCTGTGAAGGAGAGCAGAGACAAGGAGAACACCACACCACCCCGCTCTTCCCACGACAAGGCCCCACCTCGCACTCCCATCTGGGCCGAGTTCAGCTCCCAGCAGGAAGTCACCACCACGAGCAAAGTCCCGCTTAACGATCAGCGACGGAGCGTCGAGGAGGAGATTGCCCTCTACACTCCCCAAGACTACTCCCCCACCAAGCAGCGCAACTTCTTCGAGGTCGGCCAACCAGCCCTTCGGCCTGCCCCGAAAGAGCGGCCCAAGTCCATGTTTGCCCCCAAGTCGACTTCCACGGCATCATTGCTTGAGACCTTCTCGCGCAAGCGGAGCAACGAGCGCGTTCCCCTATCAGACACCAAGGGCAACGAGGGACGCACAAGGGAGAGCTCTCCTGTAAAGCCGGCAAGACCCGTACTCAGTAGGGCTAGTACCGACACCGTCAGCAAGGACTACA